TTTTTGAGATGGAGTCTTGCCCTGTTGCCCAGGCTGGAGTACAGTGGCGTGATCTCAGGTCACTACAATTTCTGCCTCCTAGGTTCAAGCGATTCTCCCGTCTGAGCCTTCTTAGTAGCTGGGATTACAGGTGCATGCCACCACACCCAGCTGATTTTTGTATTTTTAGTAGAGACAGGGTTTCACTATGTTAATCAGGCTGATCTCGAACTTCTGACCTCAGGTGATCCACCCACCTCAGCCTCCCAAAGTGCTGGGATTACAAGCATGAGACACCAGGCCTGGCCACAAATCCTCATTTTTTACCAGGCTGGATACCCCCCATTACAGCTGCTTTCTCTAGATAGGAAGATGTGATAGAAGTTAAAGGTCTTGCTATGTTGCCCAGGCTGGTCTCAAATTCCTGGACTCAAGCAATCCCCCCACCTCAGTCTCCTGAGTCGCTGAGACTACAGGTAGGAACCACCACACCTAGCTTAATTTTATTTTTATAGTCAAATATGACATAGGTGAAAGCCATTACCCAGACCTTCAAGGGAGTGTCATGATGGGGTTGGCAATGATGACACGGGGTGTTGAGGACAATACATTCCTAGAAATCAGGTTGATAATAAGTTTGGTGGAAGATCTAAGAAATTTAGTTTGGAACCTCTGAGGTAGGAAAATTGGAAATTCTCCTCTTTAGAATGTACATGTATATTGGCATGCATGTAGAATATGCATGTCTGAAACTCCAGACTACAATCTGGGCTGCAGCCATCAGTGTACATGTTAAAGGTTCTTAGGCTTTCTCTGTCCATGGCATTCCTGTAGACCAAAAGAAACATCTAACAGCTCAATGTATTAAGTAGTAACGTCCAAACAACTTAATAAGTATTTATGATCTAACAATTTAGAGGCCAATGGAAAATAGAATCACATCAATTCAAAAGAAAAGATATATTTGTTCATTTTTAGGTGATGGCTGGTTTTATGCATCAACTTGTGTACGGCATGGGTCCTAGATAGTTGGTCAGACCCCAGACTGGATATTGCTCTGAACGTTTGTTTGTTAGATGAAATTAACATTTAAGTCAGTAAACTTTAGCTGGCTGCAGTTGGCCTAGGCCTGCAATCCCAACACTTTGGGAGGTAAAGGCAGGAAGATCACTTGAGGCCAGGAGTTTGAGACCAGCATGGGCAACATAGTAGAACTTGTCTCTAAATAATTAGATGGAGAGATAGAATAGATAGGTAGGTAGGTTGATAGATGATTGATTGATTGATAGATAGATAATAGATGAAAGGATAGATATATGGATGATAGTTAATAGATGAATAGACAGTTAATAGATGGGGAGAGAGAGAGTTATATGGATAGATAGATAGGTGGATAAATAGATGATAAATATAAAATAGATACATGGATAGACAGATGACAGATGGATGGATGGATGGATGGATGGATGGATGGATGGATGGATAGTTAGATAGATAGACTGACTGACTGACTTTGAGTAAAGCAGATTATCTTCCATACTGTGGCAGGCCTCATTCAATGAGTTAAAGGCTGCAAGAGAAAACAGACTGAGGTTTCTGCGAGGATGAGGGAATTCTGCCTCTAGACCGTCCTTGAGCTGCAGCATCAACTCTGCCTTGGGGTCTCCATCCTACTGACCTTCCCAGCAGATTGTGGATTTGTCAGCCCCCACAATCACATGAGCCAATTCCTTAAAATCAGCCTCTCTCTCTGGTTTTTTTCTCTGGTGTATACACACACCTCCTCCTCTCTTCTCTGGAGAACTCTGCCTTCTACACTTACCAGTGGGATGTGTGCACCTGTTGGGCACAGCACAACTCCCCAGACTTTGGAACCAGATTGGACACCATTCCCTGTTCCACTTTGATTTTTCTTCAGTACTTGCATTTTATTCTCAGCTGCCTCTGAATACCTCACTTTGCAAAGATGACATCATCAAGAAGAATGCAGATGATCTAATGTTGAAACTGTGAACTACCTGAGGCGAGTAGTTTGCACCATGTTTAACAAGTATTGCTGTGTTTCCCTCAAAAAAGTTAAAATATCCCTCAGTGCCTCTGTGAGTTTGCTATGGCGTCCCACCCAGGACACCTGGGTACACAGTTTGGGAGCCGCAGGTAGAGGGGCAGCAGTAGTCATGGGAGTAGATGAGCTCAGGGGGACAGCACAGGAGGTAGAGACAGCAGAGAAGAGCTTCCCAGAGAACATCTAGGAGGGGAAGCGGAAGAAGAGCTTTGGGGCCGGGCACAGTAGCTCATGCCTGTAATCCCAACACTTTGGAAGGCCAAGGCAGATGGATCACCTGAGGTCAGGAGTTCAAGACCAGCCTGACCAACATGGTGAAACCCCTTCTGTGCTAAAAATACAAAAATTAGCTGGGTGTGGTGGTTCATGTCCAATCCCAGCTACTCGGGAAGCTGAGAAACGAGAATCCCTTGAACCCAGGAAGCGGAGGTTGCAGTGAGCTGAAATCATGCCACTGCACTCCAGCCTGGGTAATAGGGCGAGACTCCTTCTCAAAAAAAAAAAAAAAAAAAAGTGGGGAGGGGGAGCTTTGGAAAGGGGAGTCTAAAGGGAGACTAGAGACCCAGGAAAAAATTTATGTACTGTCTGTGACCAGCAAGGAAAATATGATTACACCTAAGAAATGAATTTGGCATAGACGAGAAGGAAGAAAAAGAATCTATACAGCTTGCATGGTTGGGAGAGTTAGGAGAGGCCAAGGCCACATGCACGTGGAACAAGAGGTAGAGGAGGACCAGGGTCTGGAGCGCACCCTGGTGGATAATATGAGAATTGCACAGCTGGCTGAAGCCTTAAAGACCGTTTCAGGGGTGCGTGTTAGCGATGCATTTATGCAAGACCTCAACAACTAGCCCTTAAAAGAAACTTTCACTGGTGGCATGTGACCCTGCTTGAATTCAGAGCTGTAGTTTTAACAAGCCAACATTAAATCCACACATCTTTGCCAAAGCACTTTAAGTCTCTTGACGTTTATTGGAATTAATTTACTTGCAAGAAAGTTCGTGTATCCACCTTTGTTGACTGTACATTTTGGGTAAAATGTTTCTGTAAGATAACTAAAACGCATGTTAATGATACAATACTGTGACAGAAACCCAAAGGTGGCTTAATTAAACATATAAAACTCCTGAAATTTTTTGCAGTTAGTATCATATCCTAACTGGTTTTTTCAGCAGGTAAAAACAGTGATACTAAAAGAATCTTGTGGCTGGAATCAGTGGAATTATATGTATGACATGAAATGCTATTTGGCATCTATTAAATTTTTATTTTGAAGTAAAAGTAAAGGACAAGGAAAGCATCCTTTGCAAGTCTCCAAGGTTATGTTTTTAATCCTATACCACAGAAAATGCAAACAAATTTCTAATTACACTTCATGCATGGAGATCTGTAGAGGAAAAATAAATTGGTACCCATCCACCCAAAAGCCACAAATCAGGCATAGAGTGGCTAATCGCAAATATAACTTGTGTGCTTGGTGCTGACAGTCTGTTGTGAACAATTAAGAATTTAGATGTTGGGCTGGGAGTGCTGTTTTTTAAGTGTGACTCAAAAACATAAAGTTCATTTAAATTTCTCCTAATCCCGGTGTGCACTTTCTATTCCTTTTTGGTTAGAGTATTATCTTCAGGAGTCCCCATATCAAACTATAAATATTGCCTTGGGGTAGTGTTCATAGTACCAGAGCACCCATCCGTTTATCAGAATAATCAGCTCTTCCTGGTGCTGAGAAAACACTACCATTTTTACTGTGTAAAAACAGAACAGCTTATAGTAGTGGTTGCCATTCACTGATTT